TCATTCTAATCTAAACGCCGTCGACTACCATCTCGACACGGCGAGGCCGGCTCTGCTCTTTCTGACCGAAACGCAGGTGTCCTCTCCGGCTGATGCTTCGTATCTCTCCTACCCGGGGTACAAACTGTAACACTCATTTGTGCCTCGGGCTGTAGTATTTTTTTTTTTTTTTTTTTTTTTATTTTATAGAATAGGCTGACAAACGAGCACACAGTCCACCTGATGGTAAGTGGTTGCTGCAGCCCATAGACATCTACATCTATCTTCCATTACAAATCAAAATGCAGATGCGTTGTCACCCGTGAGGACTGAGATGGAATGCCTCATTTCCAGTAAAAAGGGTCTCCGGTTCTCTACACTCACCATACGAAATATAGCAGCATTAAGCTACTATTTCACGCTGGTATTCTGTGAGAGCGTGGTCCTTCCCCGGTCGAGCCGACCCATTCGTGCTACAACTATACTACTAATGTAACTGCAGCATGGCTCTACCACGTAGTTTGCGTATACGTCAGAAAGGACATCTGTTCTCGACGCCTCGGCAGTCTGGAAGGTTCGGACCTGTCCAACCTTTGGCTACGCGTAGACAGCGACGACCATCTGCGCGTCTACGCGTAGCCAAAGGTTGGACAGGTCTGAACCTTCAAGACTGCCCATAGCGGTAGTAATGCCGAAACTGACCGCCTCTTCGACCACGTCCAAATGGCTACAGATTCATTGCTACAGCAGATCCCCTCCGCAGAGATCGTGATCCTCGGCGATTTTAACGCCCACCACGCCGAATTGCTTGGTTTACGTTCAACCGATCATGCGGGGAGATCTGTTCATGATTTTGCCTTGGCATATGGTCTGACACAACAGGTTACTTCGCCTACGCTAATTCCAGATGTGGAGGATCATGCACCTTCCCTGTTGGACCTTCTGCTGACCTCTCATCCGAACGAATATCAGATTTCCATCGACGCCCCTTTAGACTCCTCGGACCATTGTCTTGTCCGGAGTGTGGTGCCACTCACGCTGAAAACGCGGTTGCATTCTGCAGGCTGCCGCCGTGTTTGGCACTATAGGTCAGCTGATTGGGATTAGATACGGTTTTTCTTTGCATCCTACCCTTGGGGGCGGGGTTGCTTCTCGCCGGACGATCCCAACGTTGTTGCTGATTCTGTCGCTGATGTAGTACTTCAGGGTATGGAACTTTTTATTCCTTCCTCTGTGGTGCCCATCGGAGGCAAATCTCATCCATGGTTTGGTCGCTCCTGTAAATTAGCATCATGCTATAAGCAGGAGTGCTACCAAGCCTACGCTGACGCATCAAGGTCCCGGGATGTAAACACCGGCCTCGCCGTCTCGAGATGGTAGTCGACGGCGTTTAGGTTAGAATGAAGTCCCCTGATATTGCAGAAATTCACGGATGGCGTGGCAGGGGTCGCCTCGGTCTTGTTGCTCAGCTTGGCAAGCTTGGCAGTCTTGAGCGGAATTTTGTACCTCCCCCCAAGACTACGCGGGGCAGCCTGAGCACCAACGCTCAGGGGTGAAGTAACTTGGTCGTGGATGATCAGCGAGGGATTCCGCAGGGGTGTTGGTACCATCCTGGGGTAGATCTTCACATAATTCCGCTACCATATAAATGGGGGAGGGGGGAATTGGGCCTGTGGCCACCTACACTCACCGGACGAAACGCGAAAGCAGAGCTTCCACTTTACGCCGGTATTCTGTGAGGTCGTGGTTCCACTCCGGTTTGAGCCGGCCCATACGAGGAACAGCAATGCTGCCGCGTGGTTCTACCATCATCATTGTATCATCAGAACTGAGCAAACATTCAACTTTGGATTGTTTCTAATTTGGATTGCAGGATTTGAACTAAAAAACATATCATGTATTTTACATGTGAGGTAGTAAAAGCTTGCTAAAAACACTAATTCTACAATATTTTAGACCATTCTCATATTAAAAAGAAAATAAAGGTGTTTTATAAAACAAATTTTACGGATTTTCAACAGACTTCAAACCCAGGCGGAGGTACTTAATTTAACTGTAATTTTCTTTAAACTTGCTTTACCTCTAAACTTTTTTCTAGGTGAACCAATTTTGATGATTCTTATTTTATTTGAAAGCTGGTGCTTCCTATGTATTCTCATATAGGTTTGATCAAGATCTGACCAGTAATGTTTGAATAATCCTTAATAATGCGAATATAATTGACTTCGACTTTTATTTATATTGAAGTTGGTTGTAGAAAATCTTTAATTTCACCATTTGTTTAATTTTCTAGTTGTTATTACGAAGCTGCTGCTGCCCACTTCTGATTTATTTTCCTCTGTTGTCTTTTCCGACACCCACGAGAGGATAAGGGTTAATGGATATTATTACACCACAACTACACTTCATTAAAAATTAATTTTTTACCCTTTTGTGTGGACTAAAGAATATCATAAACCGAATGTCGTCTAAATAGTTGCATTAAAAACTTCCACCTTTATTTCCACCCTTAGGGTTGAAATCACGATTCTGTAAAATTTTCTCGATAGAAAAAAAATCCAAAGTTACCTCCAAACTGAATAATAAACCGCTGGTATTCATAAAATACTTTAAATTAGATCATGAAACTTTGCATACTAACTGAACTAACTATAATGCAGGGCTTATGTTTTCTATTTTTTTTTAATTACCTAAACTATCGGCGCCATTAAACTTGTTCCCTGCCGCCCGATCAGTCTCGCTCCGGCTTGTGAATGGGAAAGCTGTGTCGCTTACGATGAGAATACACGTTATGCAACAGGACGACGTTAAATTAAAATGGGAAATCCTATACCTTTAAACGAGCAATTCTTGTATATATATATATATAATCGGAATCTCGGAAACGGCTCCAACGATTTTCATAAAATTTAGTGTCCAGGGAGTTTCGGGGGCAATAAATCGATCTAGCTAGGATTTATTTTTAGAAAATGTCCCCAAAAACTGCTACAATATAAGAAGGTAAATTTTGACAGACTACTAACGATCGTAATAGCTCAGGTGGGATGTCGGTCGGGCGCGATATCGGAGTTCCGTGGTTCGCGTCCCGTCTTGGGTCCGACTTTTTTTTCAAATTCCCTTCTTTTGTGAGAAAATCTATTATTTCAAGCCCTTTTATTTAGTAATTTTTAAAAATAAGAAAAATTTTAATTAAACTAATTGCACTCATGATTTTCATTCAAATAACCAGTTCAGTTTTTTCTATTATGTCAATAAGATCAAAAAATATTATTCATGTAATTTGTATCTAAATGTAACTTTAAAAAAATTCGGTCATCCGGGTACTAACTATAATAAAAATAAGAAGCGACTGGTTTGGCGTAAAGAAACAGGCATAAATATGATAAACCTAATGATGAAATAAGTATCTAACAACTTACAGTATTAGTGATTACAAACATGTCGGGTATATAGCATAGTGGGGGTGAAATTATAGTAGGGGAGCCCAAGAGGAGATTTTGGGATTTACTAAAGCGCGGCAGATTAACATACAGGGAGGTACCTAGTACCCAATTAAATACCTCCACCAGGTATTAGCCCCGTACATGTGGCCGCGCGTCAACGATAAAGGATCAGATTAGTAAAAAAAAAATTCTAAGTAAGTTAGTTATATCCAAAAAGGGTATATTCTACTATCTACAATTTTCAATTGACATAAAAAGTAGGTCTTACAAACTTGTAAAAAAACGTCATCTCGACTTTCTCGAGCGTGGCTAATTTTTATTTTTATTTTGAAGGCAATAATTCAACGTTCACGAATAATATATTATCTGACGATTTCCGTAAGCCGAAGTAAGGAAAAATAATCGATAAAGTTTAATGCGTGCGGCTACGTGATGCTGGTATTCCCCTTCCCGCGTTTCTATTCCTCTCTCACTTTTTATCTATGACTCTCTCACTCCGTCCCCACTTTGGGTTTTGTTTACAACGTATTTGTAACGCCTGAAATTATTTTGCGATTTTGATGTTTCATATGTGAATTAAAATTTAAAAAAAAGTTACTATAAGTGACATTAATGTAAAGTGTATGTTTTGTGGTGAAACTAATTTTACAAAAAACTGTCAAATTTACATTAGATACATTACAAAAATGTATTAGAATATCGTCGGAGTAAACCGGTTCTCCGAAAATCCCGTACAACATATGAGAATCTGAGGCTTACAAAATAATCTTCATTAAATGAAGTACTTATACCACGCACTTCAAAGAATATATACTGTTTTATTTGCATGCTATTTTTTCAGCTCTTTAATTTGTTAAGTTAAAAGATTTGAAAATATACAAAAAAAAAAATTCTTTCCTGACAATGGAATTAGGCGAATCCCTCAGGTAATCGTCAATTATGAGACAATACATTTAGGGTATATAAATGAACCATATATATCTTAATCTGACGCACTCAAGTATTTCAAAATAGCGATTTTTTTTGCGCATTCTAATAATAGCCGCGAGTTTGGGTCCGTCTTATCTTATGTATAATCGTCAGACTATTACGTAAGAGCCTTCTTTTAGGTTCACTTAACATCCCCTTTGAAAATCTGACGCGCTCGATAAATTTTTTTTTCTGTTTTTAACCCTTACGTACGACCACTCCCATCATGGAAACAATCAGATTAACATACGCATGCTTTCAAAAATACGTAGGACATAGATGCTATTAATATCTGACGCACTCAAGTATGTCCATGCAACTGTTTTTTTTTTACATTTTTGAAAGTTTATAGCCACTCCCCCCACCAATGAAAGTGTCATATTATATGATTTTTTTTCTTATTATCTAGGCTTCGCAATCCAATAGGTCTCTTTGACGCTCGAGTAAATCCCGAAAATCCCGTAAATTTTAGGAAAACGATATCTATACTGCCAATAAAAATGTTTATAATTGCATTATTTGAGTCGTAAAGATTATTTTTATGAGTTCAAATTAGGAACTATTTATTATTATAAATATAATATTGCATAAATAAATATTAATTCATTTTTATTTCTCCTCTTTAAAATCATTCTCTTCATCAGAAGAACTATCAGCAAAACTAGAAAGGCTGTTATTAGAATCATTGATATTAATGTTGTCCATTTCCAGTAATATATCTTCTATATTTGATATTGTTACATCAGTTATTTTTTCTTGTTTGTTTATGTACCTGAAACAAAAGAAATCAAAAACATTACAACATAATATAAGAAGCTTGTAAAATGGTATACATCTCTACATAGTATAAAACAAAGTCACTTACCACCATCTGTATACTTAGATCTTTAACTTAAACAATGGATTTTTATGTGATTTTTATCAATAGATAGAACAATATCTCCAAGAGGAAGGTTATACATGCATATGTTGTCTAGATCTAAAATACACTCATGCGAGGCCGGGGCAGACTGCTTATCTAACTTGAAAGTTTATTAAATCTAACTAAAACCAGATTAGTTGTGACAGCATAAGAAAATCCGTAACTCAATTTCGACCTGGAGTGTCACAAAAAACAACTGATACGTAATTACTACAAAAAAAATTATTATGACTTGCAATAGATGAGTGTGACATGTCATTCATGCAAGGAGTAAAATACACAGACTGGTAAATTTATAATTTAGTCAAATCCTCTCACAATGGGATTGACCCATGTCATGAAAATAAAATAATAAGAGAATAAAAACTGACTAAAAAGTGAAAGATCGAATCATCGGACAGTACACCGCAGCAACCAAACAAGAGTCTAACTAAATTAGAAATGGAAGGTATTAGTAGAACCTCTCATTCTCGAATGGGTTATATGGCAGAGAAGAACCCACAAGCATGTTAAGACTCCACAGGTTCTGGGAAAGATTTCATTACTGTATTAGCATGATTAACTTTGTGACATTCCTTGGGGGAGGCCTATGTTCAGCAGTGGACGTATGAAGGGCTGTAATGATGATGGTGATTAACATGATAAATTAGCACTTAACATTGCAATTAACAATTTTACTGTACTAGACCCAATGAAGATAATACTCTAATGAGATGTGCACTTGCTTTAGGAAATATATATTGTGGAGGAGAGTGCTAACTCTTGACAACAAAAGGTGTAAGGAAGATATAATTAACTAACCAACCTTAATATTGCGCGTCGTTTTCTTTCTGACAATGGTTTTAAAATTGACTTTATTTTATCTTCATCAACATTTCCTTCAACTGTTGTTTCTGTACTCTGTAATATTTATTATAGTTATTAAGTAGGGCCTTCCTTTAACATCAAAAAATAATTTCCCGAGAAAATTACTTACTTCCATTACTTTATAGCATTTAGCACAAACTTTTTTCTCTGATGAACAATTATTACACAATACATGATATGCAAATTTAACAGTTCTTTGGTCACATCCTACACATTTTCTAGGTGCGGCTAAGGGTTTATATTTTTTATATTTTATTTTCCATTCAATAATCTCTTTACATCGTGAACATACGCCAGTTACGTCTAAAGAATTTAAAAATTTTGTTTTCTTACTAGAATCGTGCAAATCATTTTTGAATGCAGTTTTATTTTGATGTTTTTGTGCTCTTGTCCGGTTAGTATTCCCTCTAGAACAGCTCATGTTATTCAATTACAAAAAAAGATTATGATTATTAGATTATATACTAAACTTTTAAATGGCTTATTTAATTGCACCTTTAAAAAATAAATACAAGAACAAAAAGCACGAAGCGAGGTGGAAGCGAGCCCCGAATTTTAAACCAATTCATAGATAAATAAATATGTAGCAAGCTAAACCGATTTTACAATTTTTCACTTTTTCACTGAAAGCGTGCTGGCGAGGTTATTTTTATTATTATTAAAGTTTTTGGCTTGGATGCCTGTTCTTTAAGCCATGTCTTCATTTCATTCAGGATAAGCTCCCAAGCGAACAAAATAACTTGACGTTAATATTAACATCGGAGTTCGGAAAACTTGTTTCGTCGTTTTCACTTAGATGTTAATTATTTTAAGCTAATATAATCAGGAGTTTAGCTCATCGACTCATCGAGCCTATTTTCTACATTTATTTATCTGTGATCTGTCATTTATTTGTGTGTCGTTCACAGAGTGCTTTTTATTAGGGAGTCTGTAGCCTATTCTCGTACATTTATTATAGACATTATATCGTTCATTTAATGCAAGACCGTCATTTCTTAAAATCGTGACTTTTTACGAATTAATAAAAAAATCATTCCTTTAACGGCTTAGAGCTTAGACCATTCAACCCAATGGACTAATAAAAAGAGAAAAACTCACAAGCATTAGCAAAATGCATACGAACAATTAAACTCATCTGTTATAAGCTCATATGTTTTTTTTATAGCGACGATACGTAATTTTAATTACTTATTTAATTTTGTTTTTTATTGTGATTTAAAACTACGTTAAGATATATTTAGTCAATAAGATGTTTAAGTGTACTCTGCATAGTTTTTAGAATTAGCAAGCGTGATGTTGTTGTCATGATTTAGCGTTGTGCATTTCTGCCGCCTGGCGGCGCTACGTGCGCTAACGCCGCATGAGCTTAAGTACTAGGAAACTTTACCGTAACGAAGGCCGTTTCAGTATTTTCATTATTTTAAGGTATAAATTAAGGTTTTTAAGACTGTTTAGTGCGTAATATGATAAATATAAGTTCGTTCTAGTATTAGAAATGTATAAAAACTTTGTAAAGGGATGTTTTACCACAGAAAACAGCATTTGTAAGTTTTCCATAAAAAAGTCGCCTGCGCTCTGATTGGTCGACGGAAATCGATTAGTGCCGTGCGCAAAATTTAAGAGTTGTGATTGGTCAGAAGCGCCTATAAAAAAGGGGCGTTTTTTGTGGTCAGACATTCCGAATCCAGCAAGTGTAAGCAGAACATCAAGAAAATAAATAGAAGAAACTCTGAAGAAGTGTTATTATTGCTCATCCTACTGCTACCGCACACGCTACCACACACTCTCCAGTCGACATCCCGCCAGCGAACCCGCTCCACTATCAACACACACACACACACACACACACGCACGAGCGTCAACATTGGTCCTTCGAGCCAGATCGGGTTCAAGAAAACTGGGAAGATGCCTACAAATACGAGATCAAAATCAGTGCAGTCGAAGACTACGAGTGAAAGTAACGCTACTACGGGTACCAGTACGACGGGTTAAGGTATGAATACGCCGAGTGAATCTACGAGCGCGACGACTATGAACGCGTCAATTTCAAATCGATCGACGCTTACAAGAAGATCACCGCCGAGCAGCGTACACGGACATCAAGAACCCGTACTTTATACCAAGAACACCGCCGGAGAGGAATCAACATCGGGGGACGTAACTTATACCACCCCCCGACCCGCACCGTCGAAGTGTCAGTTCCTCGCCAAGAAGAGAGTCATCCAACGCCGCAGATTCAAGAAATAAGTGTCGCAGTAAAAACACGTCTGAACGAGGGAAGCACACCAACGTTCAGAGAAAAGAGTCTGCAGCGGCCTCACCCTAAGAAGAAGACCCGCGAAGACACACATTCTGTTCGCTCGTCGCATAGGAAGAGAGCAGAAGCGCAAGCAAGAATGACAGTGGCACTAAGAGAACTAGAACTGGCAGAAGCTCGATCAAAAATCGCTCAAGCTGAATTAGAATTTCTCACCGCGGAGTCAGAAGAGGAATATGGTGCCGGAGAAGAACTGTTCGAACGAACTCGAGAAGTCGAGCAGTGGTTCATCTAGACCGGGGGCATGCCTAATAAGAATCGCAAGCTGATCGAGGCATAAGAAAAGAATAGTGACATCCAGGAACTGGCTTCAGTCATACTTAAGTTATCCGAGAAGTCACGTGACGTCGTTTCACCGAAACACCTCGAACTCCCTCACTTCAACGGGACCTGTGAAGAATGGTTGGCTTTCAAGAGATCATACGAATATATGGCCGCTTCTTTCAGTAACAATCAGAACCTAGTGCGCCTTAGAATAGCGATCCAAGGAAAAGCTAGAGAAGCCGTCCAAAGCCTGCTGTTCACCGCCAAGTACCACGCGAAGTAATCAAGGGACTAGAAGCAAGATTCGGAAGACCTTGAGCACTGGCATTAGCAGAACTAGAAAAAATTAAGAACCTTTCAAAACTCGGCGAGAACCCTAGCGACATATGCGTATTTGCAAGCAAAGTGAAGAACGCCGTCGAGACAATCAAAGCCTTGAAGAATCCACAGTATCTCAGTTCCCCTGAAACACTGAGAGTTATAGTAGACAAGATGCCAACATCAATGAAGTTTCGTTGGTTCGGCTACCACAGAAGCAGAAGAGATGAAGAAATTCAAGAACTATTACTCGTCGAAGCGTTCCTGGAAAGAGAAGCCGACATGTGCGGAGACTTCGCTCCGCCTGAAGTACCTTCGGACCAAAAGAGAAGAATAAGAAAACCCGTTCATTCCGTACAAGAAGCGTCAAGAAAAAAATATAAGAAGTCATGTCCGTTCTGTGAAGAAGAACACTTCGCACTAGAATGCAAGAAGTTCGAAGAAGCTAACCTGAATGAAAAATGGGATATGACCATGAAGGCAAAAATATGCTTCAAGTGCCTTCGATTCAAGCACTCAAGAATCAACTGTAAAGCCCCAGTCTGCAAGCTGTGTAAAAGATGGCATCATACCATCTTGCATTCTGACAAACCACCAGCACCAGTAGAAAAAGAAGCGAAGGAAGAAGACACCAGTAGCACGTCAGAAGAAAAGGTCGCCTCAATTCACAACGCCAAAGGAGAAGAGAAGGCATACCTGAAGATCATCCCAGTGAACCTCCATGGCCCAAAAGGCCAAGTTCGCGTGTTAGCATTACTAGACGAAGGGTCAACGATCACACTTTTAGACGCATCAATTGCTGAGAAGATCGGAGTCGAAGGGAAGCAAGAAAAACTTACGATCGAAACAGTCGGCGGGAAGGTGTTAAGAAAAGATAGTTCACAGAAGATCGAGTTCAAAATAAAAGGGGCTCGTAGAAGAGAAAAGAGAACTATCGTAGCAAGAACCATTGACGACCTGAAGCTGTCCGAACAAGGTGTAAACAAGGACACCGTGAGAAACTGCAGGCATCTAAGGGCAATTGAAAGCCAACTCCTCTACGTCACCGAAAGACCCAAGCTGCTGATAGGCCAAGACAACTGGGGACTAATAGTAACAAGAAGACTGAAGAAGGGCAAACCATCCGATCCTGTAGCCTCCCTCACAAACCCAGGGTGGGTGTTACACGGATGTGAAACAGGAGCAACTGCTACAGTAAACTTCACTCACTATGGCAGAGCGACCACTGACGAAGAAAACATAGAAGAAATCGTCCGAGAACACTTTCGCCCGCATGGTCACTGGGAAATGAACTATCCATTGCTTTTTGAATTGAAAAGAAAACTGAGTTTTATAGATTTGTCAGAGATGCAGCCATTAAAAGGAAACTGAGCAAAATTGATTCGTCAGCCTATTTAAATGTTTTGAAACGCAGCGTATAGGAAAGCATGAAAATAGCCTGTTTATTCCAAATGGAAATGGGATATTTTTTTAATTATAGGAAACTGAGCATAATTATCCGTCAGGGATGCAGACTTTTGAAAAGAAACTGAGCTAAATTGATTCGTCTGAGATGCCGTTTTCTGAATTTAATGGAAACTGAGCCAAATAAAAGATCCGTCAGAGATGCAGCCTTTTGAGTTGAAAGGAAACTGAGCTTAATAGGTCCGTCAGAGGTGCAGCATTTGGAATTTAAAAGAAACTGAGCTAAATAGGAAATTTTGAATTGAAAGGGAAGATCTGTGGGAATTCTGATTAATTGATTGTGTGAATTTTGGAAAAAAAACCTAACTGAACTTTTAAGACGCTACTGTACACAATGTTATACGTTTTTCCATTCGGGGAAAGAATGTGGAGATTCTGAGCATTTGACACACGCGAACATGCTACATACAGCTGACCATGAGAGAAGCACGGTTTTTCTAGTTGACTCCCGCTACCTGTAACGTTTGCCCTTGCGCTTTATTAATTGTCATTGCAAAACTGAGCTTAATAGGGAACTGCAACCTTTTGAATTGAAAAGAAAGATCTGTGGGAATTATAGGGATCCGTGGTATAATAACATATTCACCTTTTCCTACGCCTGTCAAAATTGTAGCACCGATTATGTTCCGTCCAAGATGTGTTACACGCAGCCTTGTCCCGTTACATAAGCGAGGAGCATCTAAATTTCGCATTAGCATGACTGGAACGCCTAATTTTAATTGAAGCTTATATGAGGTCACACCTGACAACTC